ATGACATACAGTGGGGTCATGGTAGTTTTAAGTCAGAAGTTAACTGCCAGGTAATAAACTTTTTGCCGTATGAGTATACGTTGGCCAGGTACATATATGGAATTGGGTATGAGTTAAATGATTGACTGCTTATCTTACGTATCTAGGCCTGATCACAGATGTCGGAAATCGATATTTCTGTACACTTGAGATGAACGTAGAGATTTACCGATTAAATTCTTTGAATTGTTGAATTTAGACTCAATGTTACTCATTTGACCTTTAAGTCCAGGACGTCCAGAATTGGAGTTCATGTCGGAGGTTATAGTTCATCTTTATTGAAAGGTCCTTTAACCGGTTATCAGCTTTCATATACTTAGACTATACGTAACTGAATACAAATCATCCTCATGTTACTAATGGTTTATGTGGTGTGAATAGTTGCACGTTCGTATATTGGTATGAATTATTTGGGACTCAGAGACAACTTGTGGGAGTCGCTTGTCCAAAAGCTAAATAGGCATTGTTTTGTCGGCTTTCTATTGGGTTCCATCTCAGGTTGCTTAAGCTTGTAAATTAGGTGTTGGCAATGTTCTCTTCGTAGTGGTAGAGAGTTATTAGGTGTGTGCAACTTTGGTATCATGTTTACCTAAATAGTTTTTTTTTATCCCATTCCTTGTAGAAACATCAGGTGATTGAACTCAGTGACGACGAGGATCCAGACGTTGTCATGACTGCGGTTGAAGAACCCGAGGAGGAGGAAGAGGAGGAAGTGCAGACCGAGTTCTGTGAACTCCGAGACGCTCAGAATCTGCCGGATTCGGAGGGAAATATTTGTATTCGACGTGGAACTACAGAGGACAAATCGTACTATCTTGCCCCACATATTGCTCGAATTATCAAACCCCATCAGGTAAGCTAATCGTATTCTCTTTTAAGGTATCTAGAATAGCTTATGACTTCGTCTATAACCATCTATCTGAGTTTACTTGCTGTGTTGTTTGGTGATTTCTCAAATAACATATCTCCTCTTAATTTATTTATATCAAATGACAGGCGTCTTGATGGTTATCATTACCCCTTTAGTCGAGAGGGGGGTGGACAGAAGAGTGTTTCAAAGATGTAAGAGACTAACACAAAGGTGAGGTGAGTACTGTGGAAATAGTCGAATATGGCATAGAGCGAGATGATGATGGTTTGAAGTGAGAAGTCAACTGCCAGTTAATAGACTTTTTGCCGTATGAATATACGTTGCCCAGGGTGCACCACGTGGAGGTAAGTCTATCTCCACACCCCTATCTCCTCTTAATGTGCTCTAATCAAAAGTACCAAAAAATTATTCTGCTAAATAGGATCATTTCCCTTTTTCCTTGGTTTCTTTATTCAAATTACCATTCTTATGCCCTAATTAAAATCTTGTCCTTTTCAAATCCCATATCCATCCATCCCAGCTAATTCCCATCTTGATTCGCACGCGAATGGCAATTAGAATTTGAGGTTGACAGGATACTTTCATTCTTTATTTCTGTTCAAGATAATATAATCAAAATTAATAACATATTTCGGTTAAATATAAAAGTAAACACTAAATCCACAAGGGTTGTGTGTTTTTATGTTTAAAACTGTCGTTAAGTAATGCGTCCTAGGGCATTCTGAACATAGTGTCATCTATCGTTGATTCGGAATACTTTTTGATCTTCACAAGATCAATACCTTTCCATTGTTCTCTTTAATTTAATTTACAATGTTAAAGTTCGTCATAAGTGCCTTTTTATTATCCTTTGGGAGAACTGTTTTGCCGTTTTTTTTTCATTTAAAGATCAAAATTCGATTGTTCCATTAAATATTTTTTATCAAATGGCAGGCGTTTTGATAGTTATCATTAGCTCTTTAGTTGACTTCGAGGCGTTTTGATAGTTATCATTAGCATTATAGAAGCGTTTTGATGGTTATCATTAGCCCTTTATTTGACTTCTGGTGGCTTCACAGAGGGGAGGAACATCAAAGTGAGAAAAATTCAAGAGGGGGAACTCACAGATGAGGGAGGAACATCAAAGTGAGAAGAATTCGGGAGGGGGGAAAAGAAGAGTGATTCACAGATGGAGGAACATCAAAGTGAGAAGAATTCAGGAGGAGGAATAGCAGTAAAAGAAACAGACAGACACAAAAGCACAGAAAGGGTAAGATGAGTACTCTGGTAGGGGTCGAATATGACGTATATTAAATATAATGTTGGGAATTATCAGTGATGCCTTCCATTATTCTTGTTGTTAATATTTATGGTTCTCATCAATGGTATTTATAAACTTTTGATTTCTAGCAGTCTGAATAAGGAATGACCTGCAAGCCATCGCTTTGTCTGCACTTATACGCTCTTAATCATTTTCAATATAGTGTTTTAGATTCTGATGCTCCCATCCATGCAAACATTTTGGCTTTGTGGAGCAGTGGAGTAATTATTATGAAAGTCCTCATTAGGCAGAGGGAAACAAATAAAATGACTGGTTGTAGGTGAAGTGCCTATTTTACACCCATGTTCTATCCACCATGAGGATTTTTAAGCCTTCTTTAGCCCCTCACGAAACAACAAAAACTCGATTGTGATCGTAAGTGAGGAAAACTGCATACGAGAGAGAGAGAGAGGGGGGGGGGTTCGGGCAGAAGCGGAAGAGTGGGACAAGTCACTCATTTCTGGACTAGATCTCAAAATTTCTGCGGTTTGCATGTTTTTTTAGCGCCTGCTTATGTGTTTTCTCTACGGTGTTATTAGCAATAGCGTTTTTATCAGGACTGAACTAGTAAAGCGTCTCTAGCTCAACGTCTACTTAATTTGAAATAAGTAACAACCCTCTCCAAATTGGAGCGGTTTTATGTTTTATAAAAAGATTTACTTGACTCAAGAGGATAAATCTTAAACTAAAAAGGTAAAAGTAAAGGTACTACAACACGATGAATATTTTGCAAGAAACGTTTGCCTAATTGGCATCATTTTATTAGCCTTTCAACTATATGTTAGCTTCTAAATCCCGTGTTATTTATTAAGCTCTGTCATTAAAATTCTGCAAATGAGTTACTGTTTTATTGTTTTCTAGGTGAGCGGTGTGCGCTTTCTCTTTGATAATCTAGTGGAAAATCAGACGGAGTTCAATCGCAGTGATGGTTTCGGTTGCATTTTGGCACATTCAATGGGTCTAGGCAAATCTATTCAAGTAATCGCCTTCCTTGATCTGGTCTTCCGGTACTATCCTGCCCTCCACACTGTCCTTCTTATCGTCCCTATCAATACCCTCCAGGTATATGCATAATTTATATCTGGCGTTCGTTCAAAGACGCTTAATTTTTATAACTGATGTTTTGTTATTGTTGTGCCCATTACAATCCAGATAACAAGGAGAAACCTATACGATGAGAAGCTTTAATTTCGTAAGCATTGAGCTTTCAGCTTTTCTCATATGAGGCCCAGTTATGGTGAAATGTTTTGTTGCTCAAACTTCATCATTTGCCTCATAGGTTCCTAAGTGAGGTGTTTAAAGCTTGCAAATTGATCGATGTAATTCCGTGTTTAGCCATGCCACTTTGATTTGATTCTCCTATCTACGTATTGTGAACTATTGTTATGGATAACTGTCAATTTTCTGGGCGCCATATCATCGCCTCTTTTTCTCCTTATTAAGGCCCACGCATAATCTGCTAAAGGGAACATTTTGGTGGGGGGGGGGGGGGGGGGGGGAANAAATATGCGGCGATTCTAGCTAAATAGAAACATGATGACGAATTTTCCACTTCAATGGGGGTATACTTACAGTTTATTAACTTGTGAATAACTTATGCACAGTTTTGCTTATTACGAATTAGTTGTCCGTTTTACCTTTCACTTACTAACCTAACTATTACATTACCTCTAAGAACTGGCAAACCGAGTTTCAAATGTGGCTTCCATCTGCCCTCTACAATCCAGAAGAAGAGACTAAACCCAAAGTGAATGGCCAACAATCCTCTTCATCCGCTGCAAGCACCCCTACTCAGTTGCCAATGTCATCCACTTCCACTCACCAGCAGTTCTTGGCCCCCACTCCTCTTGCTCAGCACCCACCACCCCCATCCGTTGTACATTCTGAACCCTCTCTCCTCTCCCTAATTAATGATTCTCCCCCTCCACAATCACCAAACGTGAATGAACAAGGTAATCAACTGCTCAACAATGACAGCAATATCGACCCAATCTTATCTGGGGAACCTCAATTCCCACCACCACCCCCATCCCATACTCAACCCCCATCTCAAGTTGAATCGACAATTTCAGAGGAATCGCAATTACAACGTGAACCACCACCCTTCCGACTACATGTTATAAAGGACACCACCAAGTCGTTGGATGCTCGTTACCAGGTTGTCGCAGAGTGGACTAAGGTTGGAGGTGTACTCCTGATGGGTTATGAGATGTTTCGAATGCTCACTACTCCCAAGAAACAGGCGAAAGTGCATAATATGCCAAGTATGAATCCCTTTATTTACGGTGGTGGTGGATTTGGAAGCATTCCAATGAGTACCTCGGCTACGTCTCTGTTTCAACCTCCCTCTAATCCTCCACCCTCCATTGTGTCGGAGACAGGAAGTAAGAAGCGGAAACGACCTATTATGATTGATATTGATAAGGAGGAGAAGGAGGAGCATATGCTGAAAGGTGAGAAAATATGGCCTGTTTGAGCAGTCATTGGCCTTTAACATTGACGCTATATCTTCCATTCTAGACATGCGGATTGCATTGGCTGATCCCGGGCCCCAGATTGTAATTTGCGATGAGGGACATAGAATAAAAAACAGTGAGGCTTCTATCTCGAGGGCTCTAAAGGCTCTTAAAACAAAGTATGTACATAATTTTAATTGCTTTCGTTTTAGCTTTAACTATAAGCACTACTGTTTTACGTATCCTATAAATTAGCGTGTTCGCTGCTGAACTCACTACAATGTTATTCCAATTAATTGAATTCAAGTAAGGTGTAGGGAAGTAATTAAAAGTTTACTCTGTTAGGCCTATTTTAACCTTTTCCCCTACCTACTATCCTCCTAATTTGGTTGCTGATTTAAATCAGTTGTGTGATTGATTCATATATCCGTCCTGACGTCATTTATCGACTTTCGCATCATTTAACACCCTTATTATTGAGCTTTGCTCCACCAATCCTTCCAATCTCCTGTTTAACTGACACGAGATTGCCACCTTCTCAATGTTTTCTTTTATAAGAGGTGTGTGTTCTGCCACCATCTCCATGTTCTGCCTATCTTACTATAGTGGAGTTTCTAGAGTTTGGGGTAGGAGCTTCTATGCCAAGTTTTCTCCTTCTCCCTGTATGTTCCAAACTTAAGCCTATCGTTTATTATTCTCGATAAAGTATTAAGCATTTATTAACCCCCCCTCCTCTTACAGCTTTTACCAAACTTGTTGTAACAGCTTCTGAACTTTTTATTATTTTGTCAAGTTTATTGAACTCTCTATTTAGCGTTGGGTTCTTTGCGCATTTCAATTGTTTAGTAGATTCCATACACTTGTTTTGCTTCGCATTTATGTATGCTATTTCGTTGCCTTTTTTTAATATTTTTCATTTCAATCATAGGTAGTTATAACGATGACAGTGTTTCAGTCATCGATTCGACATTTGTCTCCTTTAATTTACTTTGCATGCAGGCTTTTCGATAGATATGCCAAATGTATTTACCTCTCTGCTATCCGATGTTAACCAATAAGGTTGATTGACCTGATTTCTGACGTATCAAATGTATCCGAATTGGATGTTTTCCTTTGCAGACGGCGTGTGGTATTAACCGGTTACCCCCTTCAAAACAATTTAATGGAGTACTGGTGTATGGTTGACTTCGTTCGACCCAATTACCTTGGCTCCAAGGCCGAGTTCACCAACATGTTCCAGCGTCCAATTGAGAATGGTCAGTGTGTGGACAGCACAGAAGCGGATAGAAAATTGATGCAGGGTAGAGCCCATGTTCTCCATGGTCTTCTCTCTGGTTTCGTCCAACGCAGATCGCACGCGGTCCTTAAAGCCAGTCTACCTCCAAAACAGGAGGTGGTTCTTATGGTGAGAATGTCTCCACTTCAACGTCGTCTCTACACAGCACTGATGAATTATATTGCCACCACTTCAAATTCCTATGGCTCGGGAGTGCCTACAGCTAACACATTGCAGACGTATGCCCTGTGCTGCAAGGTTAGTAAATGCCATCATAATTAATTATGTTAATTATATTACAGAGAAATGTTTAGTCAACTAATTAACTTTAAAAAAATTTTCTCATTTACTTTTCACATCTAACTGAGAGTTATATTTATTATCAATTATTTATTTACTTATATCAAATAACAGGCGTCTTGATGGTTATCATTAGCCCTTTAGTTGACTTCAGGCTTCACAGAGGGGAAGGTACATCAGAGTGGAAAAAAAGTCGAGAGGGGGGGGGGGGACAGAAAAGTGTTTCAAAGATGTAAGAGACAAACACAAAGGTAGGAAAGAGGTGCGGTGGTGGTAGTTTGAAGTGAGAAGTCAACTGCCATTATTATCAATTATTGTTGGCTTAGAAATACCATACCCTCATTTTACTTATTTAAAAATTTGCCATTCCAGTTATTTAATTCAGTTTTGGGTTGTGCTTTGTTTGGCATTGATCCCTTAACTTCTGAGAATTGGCTGAGAAACACTGACTGCTACTACTACTCCATCAATACACTGAACCGCTTGTTATAATTCCCAACGTTTGTCCTGTTGCTGTTTTTACCTACTGTTGAGTCGAGCTTTAAGAGACTTGAGTTAAGGGAGGGGTGACTTCTCTCAGTATTCCATTTGTGCTTATATCTGTACAACTGGAGTTGAATTAATTACAAGCGATAGTGAAGTAGCTATCAATGCATATATATATACATATATATATATATGATGGAGAGTGTCGTTTGAAGTCTAAAAAAGTCTTACATTTTTGTATATCCTTTCTTATGACACACACACACACACATTTTTGTTTTGAACATTTTCATATATGTGTGATCCTTAGAAGTGTTATCAAAGTCATCTGGAAGGACTTGCTTTAGGTCATATTAGACGTTTATTGAGGTGTGTGTTGGCGACCGATGTTTGTGGTGGGTAGGAATTTACATGAGGACGCATGTTTTTCTTATTAAGCTTTCTTACTCCTCCTCTCTACCCCCCGCTCCCCGCCCTCCCCACGTCTTTTAAGTTCTCTCCCATACCATTAATCATCCTTCTTCCCACTACGAAATATAAACACCTTTGAGGCCCAAGATACATTTATTCTCACATTAGCTGTTTATTTTTTGAGGTCCATAGAAGCCCGAAAATCGTGTATTTACCTATTCCCTTCTAATAAGTCTTAACTATTTTTAATTGAATAATCCCGTTAATAATTTAATTGTTTCAGTTTGTGCCTATTTTACTCCATGCTAGATATAAATGTGTACACACATCCACTTACCCAAATCATAGATTCAAGTCGATTCCTCTTGTTTCGCCTATGATTTTTCCAAGAATGCGGAAGGCAGGGAGACCCGAAGCGGAAAGAAAACAGGCATCAAATTTTTACGTAATTCACGTTCTATTCAAGTAAAGCCTGCCCTCAACTACCAATGATAAGTTGCTTAAGTTAATACGCCAATAGGATTCTTGGGCTTAGTGGTGCCCTTGTTTGCTCTTACGTTAGTTGTATTAATTACCCTCACCATAATCACAAATCAATTTCTCACAAGGTAATAGTTGATAGTGCAAATTTCATGCTTCGTTCTTTCACTATTTAATACAGGTCAGTTAAGGCTATTTATCCATTTCTACTTCTAGATATGGAATCACCCAGACATTCTTTGGAGAGTGGTTCAAGAAAATGTAGATGAAGCGTTGGATTTTGAAATAGACGATCAAACGAATTCGGGTAATGGGACAACTTCCCGAGTAAAACGGAAAACAAATGGAAGCAATTCAGTAGTACGTTTATCTTCACCTAAAAAAATTTTCCATTTCCTCTTTGGGTGATATATTAACTCGGATCTCTGTGTAGACAAGCTCAATTAGCGAGGACAAATACGCATGGCTGACTCATGACCTATGGGGCGAAAATTTCAGAGCTGGTGATGTCCAGAACAGCGGAAAGCTCATTATCTTCCTCTCACTGCTCTGGAAAAGCGTCCATGCTGGTGATAAGATGCTTCTCTTTTCTCAATCACTTCTCACTTTGGATTTGATTGAACGTCTATTGGGAAGATTGCCTCTCGATAGTGAGCGACCACCATCTCCCTCGCAAACCCAGGCCTCACAGGAGCAGCTTCAACAACAAAGGCTTGAGGAAGAAGAAGAGACAGAGAAAACTCTCCATTATCGATTTAATAGGAGATTGGGAAATGATCCCTCAAAGCAGCCTCAAGTTTGGGTCAGAAATGTCCATTACTTCCGTGGGTTTCTGTCTACAATATGCCTTTCCCCATCTGAGTCTTTGATCCATTAATGTCTCTTTTCTAGGTCTTGATGGAAGTACATCAGCTACTGATCGAGATCGTCTTATTCGACGGTTTAATGATCCTTCTAATCCAGTTAAACTCTTCTTAGTTTCAACAAGGTAAGTGATATATGACGCATAGTTAATCGGAACGACGTACTTATATTATTTCAGTAGTATGGCTATGAAATTGATACTATTTTAATTGAAATTGTAGGGCTGGTTCTCTCGGAGTTAATCTAATTGGAGCCAACCGAGTGGTGGTGTTTGATGCTTCGTGGAATCCTTGTCATGATTGTCAAGCCGTTTGTCGAGTTTATCGATATGGGCAAGAGAAACCGTGCTTCATCTATCGTCTTGTCTCAGACAATACCATGGAACGCAAAATCTATGATCGTCAGGTACTGCTAGTAGTCCTGTGGCTTTAATTAACTAACTTTTACTTAAAATACTGAATGGCGCCTTTATTTTCACTGTAGATTAATAAGCAAGGTGTGTCTGACAGAGTGGTAGATGAGATGAACCCGGGGCAACAATTTACACGAGCTCAAGTTGGTGTTCTAATGGCCTATGAGGATAAAGACATGCCAGTAGTCTCTGATGAGGACTTGAAATCAATTTCCGAAATCACTGACAGTGATCCTGTTCTAAAAGCGGCATTAGAACGCAATAAGGAGTGGATTACTATGGTATGTAATTGTTTTCCCAATGTTGATTGACAGACAATAGGGATAGCTTGATGTAATAAATATTTGATTGTTTGCATTATTTTACAGAAACCATTCACTCATGAGTCTCTGCTAATCGATCGGAAGGACTATCGATTGACACGGGTGGAGAAACGTATTGCTTATCAGCGCTACCAACAAGAAAGAATCAATTCGGTGAATATCCATGGTACTGGAAGATCGATGTCGGCATTGCACTATCAAATGATGGCAGCAGCAGCGGCTTCTGGAGTCCAATTCAATCCCTATGGAGGTTCGATGGGGTAAGTTTGCAATTGGGCAATAGGAAGTTCACTTAAATTGGCTTCTTAGGCTGTTTATCTTGTGATGGCACTTGCTTTATGCCTTCTGCCATTTATTTGTAGGTTGTAGATGACGCATTTAATGTATGGCTTTTACCACAGTACTTCCTAAATTAATAAATCTGCGTGTGACGGTTTATAACCACGTTTCTTGTTTTCAATTTAAGTGCAATCTTTTTTCCTATTTGACCCGTTTCCGAATAGGAGCGGTTTTAATGTAAAAGTCGATCTCCATACTACTTTTACAATGTTTATGGCAATTTATGACTAATTTATAGCTAATCACAACACATGTTGTGGGGCCTCGTAGTAAGAGGGGGGGGGGGGGGGGAGAGATGCTTTGGATATTAGAATAGATATATGTATTGAGATGGTATAGCCGACAGATTAGATATCCAGGCTGGAATAATACAGCATTTGAAATCTCTGCAGCAAAGCATTCTCGCCTCTTCAAATAGAGAAAAGCTTATTGCTTTTTCTGTCACCACTTTGGATCGTTCTGAAACCTGTTCTCTAATCCCATTGGTAGGAAACGATTTCTAACTCTCATCTAACCTGGCGAGAGATTTTTAATTTAAAACTCACGTTTCCCTTTCACCCATTAAACTCTTATACTTTTGGTAATCACGTCACGTGGAACAGTAATGGGATCATATGAAGTGTTCTGTAACTCTTGCCTGGGGGAAAGTTAATGTGGGAGTTAAGATCAGGTAAAGGTAAAATATCTCCTCATTATACTTCTTTATAAATTACTAAGGCATTGTTTATGAAATGCGTTCCTTGTTATTGAATTGGTGTTTAAATTTGCTATTTGTTTCGACGCCTTGTAATCATTTGACGACATTTGCTAAAACTTACCTTAAGGGTATTCTGTTGCACTTATGGAACAGGTTTTTCTTAAATAGTTTCCTGTTCGGTTAGATGTGCATTCGTTTTCAGGTTGCAATGAATTGAAAATTGCATTTAGATAAGACTCAGCTACTCTCCTTGGTTGCGAAATTTCCTTGGCAAACCCGTTTACCCTTACTTTGTCCATCACTAGAGTATTAATACTGACAATCTGGCCTTTCTCTCTCTCTCTCTCTAGGCCCATGGGCTTCAACTATCCAGCAAACCAGGTTCGTGGAACGCCGAATATTCTTTCCAAGAGTGGAGGAATTAATGCTATGAACCAGGGCGCCTACGGTGCTACGAACCCCTACGGTTTCTTCTCCACGGGACTTGAAGATCCCTTGGCGGCAGCTCGTCGATACGATGGTATTCAGCGCAATCGAATGCTGCAGAAGGATTTGGATGAGGCGAGAATTCGCGCTGTTTCTCGAGAAATTGGTTAGTTGAAAACTTATGCTTGTGATTGCCCTAGAGTTGATCCTAACGTAATGCTTGCAACACTATGGCCTACATCCTAGATGGGGTAGAAATGAGAGGATCTATCACCTAATGTGATTTATTTACGGAACAAATGTAAGAGTTTTGTATAGGCTTGGTACTAAATTGCTAATTGTCTGCTTAACTTTGGATATGTAGTACCCATGGGCCACACGTTGACTTATTCTATTTCTTTACTTCATCTGACGAGTGCATGACGATTTTGTACTGGTTGCTGTGTCTACTTTTCTTACCATAACCAACTTACTATTAATCGGCTTCTGCTCTTTCATGAAACTGATTTATTCGCACGTCTACTTTGCTGGCAAACGAGACAGTCAAATATATATATATATATATATATGCCTTAATTTTTTTAAAGATGGAATCCTTTGTTTAAACTACAAATCACCTGCCTTTCATTTGATCTCAGCAACTGTAGCCACGCTGCTCACTTACTTCGACAGCCTATTATACCGTCTTTCGTTGTAACAAAACAAAGACAATGATATTTAATTATTCTATTTTTGAAATTGGAATATTAGTTACCATGCGCTTTGTAGGCATTACACTTCCAAGCGGGCCTTTGGGAAGTGATTACAAAATCACTCGTGTAGCAGCTTCGACTGGTAAGCGTAATTCTTACTGTGTTCGAAAGTAGAGGTGCATAAAAGGGTTAACACTTTTCCCGCTGATGCTTTTGTAGATTTGGTATTTCCGCAATCCACTCATCCACCAGCCCCCGAACGAAGCATTCCCAAGGGTGAGATAGTGGAGATTATTCAGGCGGGTCCTAATGGAAAATATCTCCGTTTACCCCGAACTGGAGACATTTACGTCGTCAAACCAGGCGCCTCCTCCACTTCAGCTACTAAGGGTTCGGACGCTGATGACTCGGCAAAAGGTAGTAATGGTGCACCAGCTAAACAACAGCACCAAAATCAACAAGCGCAATCATCCCAACAACAACAACAACAACCGATTCAGACCCAGATGAATCAAATACTGGGAGAAAGCATGTCTCAGCAAGTCCCAACTAGTCATCCGTCCAACCCATCTCAACCTCCTGTTTGTCCCCGCTGTAGACACCCAACCGTCCCTTCGGGTTGTCTCTGTTCACCGCAACAACAAATTTACACAACAACCCAACATCAAGCCACCAACGCGCCAGCAACTCAAATGCCCTACCACCCACCGACGTATACTAATCAATACGCCCTCCCAACAGCCCCCTATGTTTCGTCACCACCTCCCAACCCCCCAACCAACACCCCTGCTTCTCACAGTTACCCTAACTACTGAAATGGCATTTTAGTATCTCACCAAGTGTACAAATCCTTTCTCGGCCGTCAGTTTATGTACTAGTTTATGTGCGCATAATCTATTTCTTCTCTTTCGTTGTAATCATCTTTATGTGTGTACATTCCCTTCCTCTCTTAAAACCGTTTGCATTTATGATCCTCTAATCACCCTTCCCTCCCCATCCCATTCCTAATGATAATTGTATCTATCTTGGAGATAAAATGAAAATGATTTGAAAAGGAAAAACGAACCACCTCTTTTATGCATGGCATTTTCATCTTTGTAATTTGAGCATGAAGTGTTGTGATACTAATCTAGAAGCATTAGGTAGGAGGGGCCATTTGAATTCATTATGGTGACAGTTACTTTTAACTCTTAAGTATGATATAACAGTTAACGTATACTTGTATGGTGTACCTAACAGGATACTGCTTTCCTCTAAATTTGTTGGAACAATGCCCGCGACGCAAATCTATATCCGACCAAATACAGAAATCGACAACAAGCTGAAAGAGACCTTTGCCGAACACAAGGGTGGCAAAATTATTCTGCTACTAGAAGCATCAACGGATATTGAGACCGGAGATAGCTGGGATGAGTCTTGCTGTAAAGGTGAGCCAATTATTCTTTTTAATTCCCCCTTATTATAGTCGAAAGTATGTTGGAACCTCTACTCGAAGAATCTCCCGAATCAACAATATTTATGATGGTGGAGGTCGGAAACAAGGATGCGTAAGTTTCATGATTTTAACAGGAAACTTAACGACAAGTCCGAAGGTAATGCCATATGTACTTTAAAGGTGGGAAGAAGACTCAAATATTTTTAAAAAGCACAAAGTTTTCCAGTTGAAAGCCATTCCAACTCTTGTTGTTTTGACATCGGTACGTTCAAAGCAAATCAACATTGAAATTTATCAACAAATAAAGCCAACTGCACTATCTTTTATTTTGTAGCCGGAATCCGTGGTTAAACGCATAGAAGGTCCAGCTTGCCTAGATGAAAAAGAGCTTTCTGAGCTTTTCAATTGACTTCCCCTAAATACGCCTTGAGCAAATGTGATCTTTCCTTTTTCATTCAATGACGCCTTGCCAGCCTTTAATAATCGATTATTTGTTTCTTTCTGCGTGTTTCTGCTTTCGCTGCTTAATAAATTGCAATATCTTCCATGACTGCGTTCTGAAAATGACTACTGTTCATTCAAATAGGGCTATATATACTACTATCCAGATACTAGTAATAAGCCTCAAATATAAATTAAGGAACGATAAAAGTGGGAAATTTGTCAAGACAGAGCAGAAAATATGAAAAATATGCATAAAGATGTGAAAACACAGCCAGTTTAAGTGAGAAAAACGCAAACGTAAATACCTACGTATATAAAGTTTATTAAATGTCCAAGGTTAAAAACACAATATAAATCACATTTACGACAGTTTTTGCTTCTTTTCATACGGAAACTGGGCATCAGAAGGTGGTGGTCGTTTGCAGATACTGTGCAAATTTTCTTCTGAACTTGTTTTTATATATATTCTTCGCGGCTGATTGGTCAGTCGGTACGGCACATATTTGGTGAAGCTATCTGGTTTATATATCGGTAAATCTTTTAGACTTTCCAATACCATTATCAAGGGACTAATGAAATAAGTAAAAGTCAAGAAATTCACAAAATAAATCGTCCCGCGGACAGTTGAAAGAATAGTACTTTATGTAAACAACGAAGCTTATAGATTGATATTAAAAGCAAGTGATGTCAAAGAATAACTACCTAATGCTATGAATCAATTACTGAAATGAAATTAATTGTTTATTTATGTATGCTAAAATATATGAAAATCTACAATGAACTTCTCGTCTTTAAGAAATAGTTTGCAATTCGGTAACTAGTAAGAGATGTCCTAAAGCTTAGAAAGGAAAATTATTCCAGTTTGTTTTAATATGGATTAAAGAATTTTTAATGCAAAATTGCAATAAGTGCTCTTGATAAATTTCATTATGATTTTATGGCACCAAAAAAAGAACAATACATGATAGGTTAAAATTAAATTTAGAAATTTTCCGAATTGAAATTCAACAAGTCTTAAATTTTCTATTCTTATGCAAATCATTAAAAGGAATAAAATTAATTTGAATGAAATTAGAATCATTTCACGTACATTTAAAAAGGGTGAAAATATCATAGATTAGATTTCTTTAAGATTACTACAGCAGGTAGAACTTTTACTTTGTGACAGAAATGCATTATAACTTTTCCAATATTTTCTTTGGTCATTAATTTGACTATGGATACCACATATATTAAAACTAAACAATCGTTTCATTCAGTTGATTATTTTTATGTACCCCATAAATATATCATTCATTGATACTCGTCTCAAATTAATTTGTAGATAAAAATCGGCTTTTTGGAGATTTTTCAAATATTGCGTTGTAATAGAGTAAATAGTGCACACATTTCCGTGTTAGGATTTGTCGTTATGTTTGTGCTATTACAATGCATGTAAATAAATATTTTTGAATATTTTAAAATTATAGCAATGGAATAAGTCAGTTATTGAAGCAGTGATGATAACTGTAACTTTATTTTCGACTTCCCAGATGTGTAGTTATCAGAAAAATAAATGTTTTAATTTTGGATAAATTACTTATAAATTAGTATAAACTATAAATAAAGCATATAAAAAGTTAAATCATCAACGTGTACGATTTCATAGAGGAATCTTTACTTTTCCAGAAATTTCATTTGAAAAGTTCTAAACTTACAATTTCTTATTCGAAATCTGTTCTATATTCGCTTTTGATTTTTTGTGTCATTTTCAAACAATATTTTCCTATTATATTTTCATAGTCTTGCAAATACGAGTCCTATCAACTGCTTTTGCATTTCCCCTTTTGCATTTCCGCTTTTTCACCTCCATGCGGATAACCGTTTCCCAGTAGTCTAATTGAAGTTTTCCGTCTTACCTCTCACACTTTCATCGATTTTATACATGAATTAATAATCCAAAACTCATTGTTTTCTAATGATTAGAACTTTTAATAATCTAATTCTGATTTAGTAAATGCTATGTTTTCTTTCAAATCTAGCTATATCGTGATATTTATTATTTTATTTTTCACAGTATTGGTGAACTTAAGCTCAACTTTTCACTCTTGTAAACATTTCATGAGATTAATTTGGATCACTAACATCATTTAAAAATGATATAAATTCAATTATTTAAGTTCAAATTAGAATACTTGCTGGTTGCAAACCTTACGCATCTGCTGAATTGGAACGGAAAAGTCTAATTACTGTTTACCTCTAAAACATTTCTAACAACAAATTGTCAGAAACAAGAACTAAATTTTAAAATTTGCAGAGTTCGCATCAATGCTTTTAAAATCGAAAATATGTTTAAAAGCCATCCGCTATATAACTAATTATTGTCTTAAGCCTTTAGATCACAAAAACCTCTTACTTACGCAATGCACCAAATGTGTTCATATCTTTTAATAAAAAATACATCAAAATTAATTCATTTGAAAACGGCTCCATCTTTTTACTTCGTGTTTGAACTATCAAGTTCGTCCTTTAATCAACAACAACCAAAGTCGTACTCGTTTAAACCATTTTTTTCACTTGAAAATGATAAAGCATCAGTGCATTTGTAAAATTTGCCGGTGTGGGTAAGTTTATTACGCTTTTATATTTTAAGTCGCCACAAATGTTCGCACATTCATCCGAAGCTGAACGAGGAGGCATTCAGCAGAGTTACGGAATATACCGAACGATACATTGGTCAAAATGGGGAAAGAGCCACATCATTAAAACCTAAAGCTTCTCCAATTCACTCAATCGAACCGTTATCTGAAGAAACAACCCATAGGTAATTTATACATACTAAGACCAACAAATAATAAAAGTTAAAATGGCGGTGAACCTGAACATTGTTTCTAATCCCTTTTTATTCATGCTCATTTGAATAAGTAATTTTCATTAAAATATGACGCGTGTGTCTAGAAACGTCAGCTCATTTTCAGTGTATTATTGCTATTCTATTTTTAAGACACGATTTTGTGCCACACCCACTTGAACCAAGAAAGCAGAAGGCGACGTCTGCTCAACATGTCCCCATTGGAACTTTTGGGGGTCAAAGTGTTTATAACTCTGATTATACGAGTATGATTTTCAATGGCACTTATTTGATAAACGGTGTATTAAATAACTCGGAATTCTCTTTAACAACTTTGTATTAAATAGAAAAATGTATAACGCGTGTGGCCCCTTTCACCCCTCAACCGTCCGAAAAGAAATTAGAAGCGTTTAAAGGTGAAGCTACATATACGGGTAGGTTTGCTTGTTATTCAAATCGTTCTCATTATTTCACAAAACTAAGGTGCATTATTTAATTAGCGGACTACAAGGAGTGGGATGTGGAACCACTCAATAGTATTGTACCGAAGAATGAATATCAAAAACCCATAGATTCGTTCAAGGGAGAGTCAATTTATTCTACGGATTATGTCAGTCATGGTCTTTTTAAACCTCCGAATGCAGTTAAACCTTCGCCCCAACCAATTCAAAGTGGACCTTTCAATGGCATTTCAACTTTCACAGCTGATTATATACCTAAGAATGCTGGTAAGATAACAATGTGGATCAGAACTAATTTCGGTTTACTTTCAGGAACCTAGACATAATATAAATCTTTGTAGTTATCAAAGTTTGTCCTAGGAAAACATATGAGTTCAAATTTTCACTTTTATATTAGTTATGGCATCCATTACTTAAATAGACAGGTGGGTAAAATAAATTGCTCAATTATACATGCCACTTTTTTTAAATTTCAATTTAAACTATAAATATTTAATAAGCCCTCTTGATCAATTTTAATTTGCTCCTCATTTTAATTACTTCACGCTCTGGTCATGTCAGCATTTTTTAATAATTTTGTTTTAATATTCAGCTGATTGGTTATTCTCAGTTTAATTATTCAAAAGCAGTATTCTGATGCACAAATATAGTTGGTTTTCCGATGATGGCGGAAAAAGCTTTTAACGGACGTAGTTGGCCATTCAAATAATTACCTTTACCTTACTCGCATCTTGGCCTCCGAACTACTAGACTTGTTCTTTGATTGCTGTTTCAAAGGCATCAAATCGAAAAATGGGGCTTAAACTTAGTAAAATGGTAATATTAACACGATCATGAGTTATATTGGATTAAAGTTGTAACTGGAGTCGTATTGTTCGCTCCATAAGAAACGTATATTAGCTCAACTTCTTATCCTCTATTTAGAGAAACAAACGCCATTTCGTCCGGAGTATACACCTTTATCCTCAAATGCACCATTTGCGAAGGAAACGACTCACAACGTCGACTATACTGAAAAGCCTCTTCCAGAGCACTTCCGTAGAAATGTGGAAGAGTATAAGCCAAGCAGTGCGGAATTTGATGGCAGAACAACGTACAGAATCAATTACATACCACTAGAAGGTAAAAGGGCTAAAATGATAAAACCGGTATCTGAAGCGCCAGAACGCAATGGAGAATTCTCAGTACGTTTTATTTACTCGCTTATGTTAGTACTTTTCGTGAAAAAGTGAATTGTATCTGAACATCACCTCTGATGTGCTATTGTTACCCTTTAGTTGAATCCATAGTAACGCATTTGTATTGAGTAACAAACGACAGAAAAGAAATAGGGCCTGCCTAAAATAGGCAAATCATAATTCCGTTCGAGGTAACGATTTATTTATGCGTCAAATTAAGATCATCTCATTTAAATTTACTACTTAATGTTTAAAGTAATAGCGGTCTTCCTTCAGTATCTATGAAATGATAATTTTAGTAAATTATATAAGGACTGACTTTGACTAATTTCAGTGGTTATTAGCACAGTCTTAGCTGTAAACCATAGGCCTAAATTGAAATCGACTACATATAATAAGGGATATCGTATAATGTACCTAAGAGTAAATATGAAGAGTAAAGATAGAAGCAAGATTTATTTTTGAATTTATGCTTCAATCCTCTGTCTAATGGTAAACGCTTATAAGTGATCATATAAATGTCACCAAAAGCGGGATGGGTATATACAGTTAAAATTTCTTCTATTCATAAATGGATTCATCGCATTTATTTGGTTCAGGATATGACAAATTACAAAAAGGAGTATCGTAGGTGGTCAATTAAAGCTCGCGAATCGACTGTCCGTGGTCCACCAAAGTATCTCCCTCCAGAGGCACCATTTGATGGACAGACAATCTATCAGAATGAGTACATGGCTAAACTACTGGAACCTTGTCCAGTTTTGAGTCTACACTCAAACCCAGATGTCATTTGCGAGGGAGAGGTAAGCATAAATTTTGTCTCTAGACTGATATCTGTTTACCATTTTTTCTAATCTGAATGACTGGTAAAGCTTGGTGAGTTACCAACGAACATCTTGCTAGGATGTTGGTTCTCTAATGAGGATCTTCAGGGCTTGGTAAAATTGGTTATTTTTAAATTTTGTTTTAGAAACTTCTCTTTGAACACACACACACACACACTTTGGTCAACTTTGTATAAACTAAAAGCATACAAAGTCAGATAATCTACAACTGGGCATAATTCACTCAGAGAATAATGAACAAAAATGGCAATAAAGTAACGTTTTTCTTCTATTCACGACCTTGTACTTCGTATTGATGTCGCGTTTAATTACAGATTTACTCCACGATAATGGGCTAGTATTAATGATCAATTGTTCAGTTTTATAATGGAAATATTAATATAAATGACAAAAATGACAAATTGGAATGAGTAAAAAATCGAAATTATAGGGTACATATTAATGATTCACTACAGATTCATCGCTCTAAACTATTCGACTTGACGAATGGCGCTAATGAGCAATAAAGAAAATATCAGATTAAAAAGCAAAAGCCAACCCATACCTAAAACATTCCAAAGTAAAGTAGGAACGTTATTTAATAGTGATTAAATAGCTTACTATTGATATTCTTGTAATTTTAGGATGAATATGGACACGAATTCTTCTCAACCCGTGTTCGTAAAAAACAAAAGGCTACCAACTAGATGCACTCATTTATTTCGATCTATTATGAATATTTTGTGCGCAATATTTGCAATTAGAGATCATGAATATTTAAAATAACCCATTAATTATGTGAACGCTTTACAAGTTTGATTAACATTAATATATATTAACCTCAACTTTAGCACGCGTTATTGGTTATTCATTGATTTCAATTAATTATTTTGCCATGATTTGCTATTCTGTGTTCGACATGCGCATTCTCTCTTGTCACAAATAAAATCCTACAGAATCACAAAATGAACCACATCAACGAAACGCCGGAATGGGACACGCGCATCTTAACAAGTGATTGCAAAATCTGGCTCTTGGTAACAGTGATGTAAATAACAAATATTTCGTACGAACATTGCTCCAATTAGAATCCAGTATTGATTATGAAGGAGAAACACTGATTAGTATTTCAAGATAGGCAAATGGCTAAAACAGCCACAATTTAGGTCGATGAGCAGTTTACTATTTGCACAAACGCATTTTAATAAGCTTAATAGGTAATCAGTGGAAAGCTAAAGAGAATTACACTTGAACACCATTGAGAATGGTTGACTTAAAATTTGTTAACATATCAGTGCTACAATTGCCAGAATTGCGGCAAGCTTTCAGAAATGATGGGCTTTTATTTAAAAATATATTTTTAAACATTTCTGTTTTCGGACGAAATCTAAGTGAAAATGTTGGATCAAGGAATTTTTAATTCAGAATCTAATAAGAGGCGATTTAATTTATATATTTAAATTTAGCCGAATATAGATATCCACAAAACATTAAAAACAAACATGCTAATACTATTTAATTACAATGAGACATAGCCCAAATCAAATTATGTTACAGGAAATAAGAAACCAAACAGTTGAGTTAAGGGACAGATGAAATGTTGATTATTCTATGAGTAAATGAATTCTTTATTAAAATGAATTTACACCCCAAATCAATTTAAATTTTACTCATTATTCTTATTGACATCATTAATAAATGCGGTGGCATAAAGATAGAATGATTTCTGCTTGTATGACTGAGAATATATTTGCAATTATATATCGTAATTACTGATAAAACATTGGATTAAACCATTTTTAATAAATCAAAAGTGTTTTCTGAGCCTAAGATCGAAATGTTATCCGGAATCATAAATCAAGCACTGTGTACTATTTGCATTGTTTATATTGTTAACATTTTTATATTAAATACTACTTCATTTGGAACCAAAATATTTAATCTTAGGTGGAATAATTTAATTTAAAAACGCACTTTTCAATGATATAAATTTAACAAAACTCGAATATAAATTTAATAGAGCATAGACGATGAATTAATGAAAAAATGAACATTTCAAGGAAATACAAAAAATCCACTTTTATGTTTGACCTTCAGTATAGGAAAATCATCTACTATAGCAAGTCATTTGCCTATTGGCTGTCCCTGTTTGCAGAATAATTTTTTGTATAAATGGATGCCACTGTTTGGGTCGCTCCCTGTATCGAAGCGAATCTATCAAACCTTACGTTAACTACGAAATGCATTAAGAATTCTGCTTCGTCCTTGCTTTCTGTATCCGAACACGCGGAACTCATAGCTAAAATCTGGCTTCAAAATTTTGAGACAGGTATTTCCTCTTGTGCTTATTTGTTATTGATTTTTATTTATTTGTTCTATAATATGATTATCAAATGTCTTAAATTATTTTTGTATTTATTCATGTTAGAAGAGTTATTTGCTTGCACTCATTAGTTTTCTTTGCTGATTTAGCAAGCGATCCCGCAACACAGCTAGCGTTATTTTATGTTCTTAATGAGGTTTTACAAAATTGCATCAGCTACGGTGCACCTGAAATGAAAAATGCTTTCAAGATTCCTATTTTGTCCGCACTCAAATCATTTCGGTAATATCACTTAAGATTTCACTAGCTTCTTAGTTCTGGAATGCCCATCGACAAGGTCAAAAAACTTCTTTTGGTATGGGGGCAGCAAGGCCTTTTTGAGAAAGATTTTAACAAAAGATTGTCAAAGTATGCTCGACATTTTGAAAATTTGAGCAAACGACCTGACACCAACATCAATCATTCAACTGCAAAGGACTTTAAAGATTTCTCGGTCAGTTGTTATTTTTCTAATATGACAGTCATATTAGCCTCTTTTTACGATTTAATGTGGGGCTCTTTTAATTATTGTAGCCGGATAAGCTTATTCGTCAGCTGCGCGAATATGCAGAAATCGAATCAAACTCAAAGATTTCCGAACCGGAATTTGTCGCTTCCTTATTAGGTATTCCTATCGAAACAACACTTTCTCGCATCAAAAGTAAGGCCGAGGGAATTTCTTTCTCTAAGGACGTCCGAAATTGTGCTGAGCAACTTGATAGTACGTTGAATGATTTGAGCAGGAAACTAGCTGCTCAAGAAGCCTTGGCAAAGAACATTGATAAGGCTATTTTCTTCTACTTGGCCCAAGAAAAGGACGCACGTAGTGTCGTCAATGTACGTTTATAAAAATTCTTTAATGTTTCTACAACTGCTACTTTTTGGTATTCGGGTAACTGATCGATGTTTTATATTGCAGACCGCTATCATTTATTCGTAAGAATTGAGTTTTTATCTTGTATTTCTCTTAGCTAAAGCAGAAATCTTAAAATAACTGCACTAAATGTTTAGTACTGTGTTATAAAGAGGTTAGGAGTGTGCTAGTGAGCTTGCATTTCCTTGTCACTTGCTAATGATATCTAGTTCAGTTTCTTCTCATTTCGATTTCATTGTTAAATGCAACATTCAGTTCACAAATTTGTAAATTGCACGAATCCAATTGGCTGACATAAGTATCCTCTGGAATTTTAGACTTGTTTAAGTTTTCCTTTTCGTTTTTTAACGAATCACCTATCGTTGCTTTAGCTTTATTACTGATGGAGATTGAAAATCAGTCTAAAAGATCTCATCTGATTTTTACTTTGAATTATTCCAAAGTTTAAAAACTTGTAATTTATGGCATTTGCAGCAGATCTATCTTTAATATTTTCATAAAACACTCGTGTTCATGTTGATTAAATTACGTCTTAATTCGATTGGTCTTGAATTATACTTTGTTCCGATCTCGCATGGTTCGTCCTATGGATGACCATTTATTCCTTGTCTATTTGATAATTGGTATCTAATGTCTTAGAATCCTAGGTGGATGCTTTATGTCTTGATATTCCTTTCTAAGACTTTGCCATACGATTTCTCTAATATGCCCACCGAATTCAGAAATAATGCGAATCTTATCTAAATTTTATAAATTTCTCGAAATTTGCCCTAGCCTAGCTCACAATTTTAGCTTTAGCAACTATGCAAAAGTTATAAACCATCAATCTGATTTCCTTTTTATTCAACACTTATGTAATACCAGCAGTCTAATAATTTCCTCTGACCATGGATGACTGTGGTACTTTTGACTCTTCTAGGCTTACAAGCTCTACGAACGGCAAATTAGAGAAACTCTGCGTTCGGTTGGTGGAAGCTACACTTCAACATTGACGGCTACGACAGACGATAATACCGAATACACCTGTCAGAATATCTACGAAGATGGTGGTGGTGGCGATTCTGATATGTCTGATATTGAAGAAATTGACAATATTCCACTTCACCATCCTCGTGTTGAACCTATTGCACCAACACCCTCCGTATCTGATCTCCTTGTTGATCCCAAAACTTTTTCAGACCTGCCCTTCTCGGAGTACATCACTATTGACGGTAGTGGTGATGTGGACTATCGTCCTATGCTCTCCAAAATTCTTGAAAGGTATGGGGCCTATTTTTACGTCATTTTCCAAAAGTTGAAATAGAGAGGTGCTTTTGATGCTTAATAATAATTGCCCGAATTCGTATTTCTAAATTTATTAAATAGCAGTTATATTGATTAATTGATTATTGCTTGACAATGATTCTTTAGTGTTGTAGTAGTCGCAGCTGTTTTTTAAGTTAAAGGAACTTTGAATTGTACTTATTTGAAATTCTTGATCTTTTTTTCTGTTCCTTTGGGTACTGTATTTGTTTTTGGGCAATATAATCAATAAATATATCTTTCTTTGATAGAAGTCACGAACCCATAACCCGTTGATACTCGTCTATTAACTGCAATAGCTAATCCTGCTGAACAATCGGGTCTAATAAGAGTTGTCATTGATGATCAGTAATATGTCTTCCTCTCTTCGTAATGTAATCTATAGTATACACTTTCAATCTGCATAGGCACTCGTATGACTATATTTAATATTTTTATTCTCTAGTAATTCAAAAATGTCTAAGGAAATCGATTCACATCAACTGGTCCAAACAGAAACAGGTGACTTCGACTACAGAAAGCCTCCTCCTTCTGCTATAGTTATTGATGAGGATCAAAGAAAACCTCAACCAATGGATCCCTTCGGCTTTGGAACTAATGAGGATGCGGATCTGCGAGAACTAAAACCATCGGTAGGTGTTTTTTATTGATTGATAATTTACTTCCTACCTGGTTGTTTATTAATTTCTTCTTGTAGACCTTTTAATTCCTGAAGTCTCTGTTGGACTTTTTTTAATATAATATTTCAGTCCGCAGTTATATGAAGAGATCTTGTAATATGTAAGCAGAGCAATTGACAGTTAACATTTTTGAGAATATGTTTTTTATAATGTGGAAACTCTATATACCGCTTAAATCTCAGTCAATTAAGTCATACAGAGGACGTTGTGAATGGAGTAGACGAGTGGATGTCTTACTAGTGTTAGTTAGTCTATACTGGTGAGTTATTTGGCTTTCGTCTCACTTATTGAAACTTAGCTATTTGTTTCTTAGGTCTCTTCACAACCGCCTATTCCTCCATTAATTCCTACACCTCCATCAGACTCGGATTACCGTCAATTACAGCCCTCTCAATTACAACCCACAACAATTCCACCTACTCCTCATGCTTATCCATGGTTGACTATCACGGATAGCGATCTTCGACAGTCTTCAGTCGGCCATGGAGATACGCTCATACCACCATTACCGGTTGCAGTCACGAATACAGTCACATTAAATCATACATCACCCTTTAATGCTACCCTTCCACCACCTCCATCCAAACTCTCTGTACCAGTTTGTTCTCAGATGGAAGGCGTTCTTCCCTTCCAAACTGCCCTTCCTCCACTGTCTTCTGCTCAAATGATGGTGATGTCTCAGCTTCAAATTCCTTCTTCCCAATCCTATCAGCCTCAGCAACAACAGAATCCACTGATCTCTCATGTTCCAAAAATTCCAGAGGCTGTGCCTTCTAAGCTGCAAAAAACATCGCCGCAGCCATGTCCTGTTACTACTATACAGCCTGTTTGTCAGTCTTCTTCCTCAACCAACCCCGCTTTAACTCAATCAAAATACATTTCGGATCAGGTTGCCACTACTGTTGCTAGTGATAATGTTGAGGACAACATTAAGTCGCAGGAAGATCCGTTTTCTATCATCTTTCGTATCACTGGACTGTCGAATTTGATAAAGTCGTAAGTTTTTGGATCTGTCCTATTTGTTGTGGTTTTATATATATGTATATATATTCTTTATGCTCTTCACAATGTCTTTCCAGTTTCGTATTTGGTGTTAATAGATCTGGATTGTATCCTCGAAAATAAAAATTTCTCAAATTTGATTTTGGATAGTGGTGTGGTTGCGTCATAGTTGCGCGCATAGGCTAGTAAGAAATGAAGTCGTTGTAAATGTTATCCCTCATTATTTGATTTACTCTTGAGAGAGAGAGAGAGAGAGGGAGCTCCTCCTTAGAATTTTTTCCCGGATATTAGGCACATTTCTTGTTGAGAATTCTGCTCAATATCCCCCCTTTTAGTAGTTTTTGAATTACTTCTCTTTTACCCAAAATATTTATTTATTTATTTATTTATTTCAAATGGCAGGCTTTATGATATTTATCATTAGCCCTTAATCTTTGACTTCAGCTTCCCCCAGAGTTAATTAATAGCAGTTCATTAGCTGTCTTCTGGCTTCCCAGTATCTTTGGCTTTCTGTCCTTGTCTTTAGAGCTGGACACCGAATCAGGTGGGTCTTCTCCATTTCCTCATGTAGGTTACATAGAGGGCATGTGGGTTGAGTGTATACTCCCAATCTGTGAAGGTGTTTTGCTAAGCAATCGTGTCCGGTACGTAGTCTTAACTCAGCAACGGCTTCGATTCTTGGCCAGTCGGGTATGTCGGAGAGTGCCACTGTCCACTGTTTCTCCTTTGTTCGAGCTTTGAGTTCGTTGTACCTTGAGGTCTGGAATTCTCTCCTGATTAAGGCCTTCATTGTGTGGAAAGACATCGGCCGGTCCATGCATTGCAAAATTGTTGTCCCCTTCTTAGCAAGTGTGTCAGCAATCTCATTGCCTTTAATGCCACAGTGACCAGGAATCCATTGCAGGACCACTGTTTTGTTTTTCTCTCTCAGCAGCTCATAGAGTTTTCTACATTCCTTTATCTC